ATTTAATGTGATGTTAACTCTGAAACCTAATCCCTTGATGTTAATGTCACTGTTGCACTGTTTACCTGCTCCTTATGCTGGCAAAATCTCTGGAGGGTCAGGGCTTATCCATAGCTGCTGTGATAGCTGGCAGCAAACAAGTGGACACTATGGAGGCTTTCTGATGGGGAGGAGTTCAAATTTCTGTCCTTCAGCTCTTCGGCAGCACCTCATTACTAAATAGGATCCTGGGACCAGAATATTTAACCATGGTCTGCTGAAAATCTGCCATCCCCATGGGTCCTCGCTGTTGTAAGCCCACAGTCTCTGTAAGAAAATCTATTGCATGTCAAAAAGAGGAGAGCTATAGAAAATAACTGGAATATAATGCCGAAGTAAATAACACCAGAAATTCACTCTGAGTTGCATTATTAATTATATGAATAACGAGGATATAATATTCAACTGGCATCCTTAAAAGTGCCTCTAAATCTGCAGCAGCAGTTGCCACGTGCCTGGAGGTTGCTTTAACGAGAGGCCCTTCCCAGAGTTTCAGCCTGGTTTGCTACAGAGAACACAAGGGTGGGCTCCCCCGCATTGCTCATGGGGTTAGGGGACTAATTAGCTGGTATTCGAAAAGCCCTTGGAAGACACACATTTACCTTTATGAACGAGAAAGGCCCATGGAATAGCTGTGGAGGAGTACGCAGCCCCTGTGCCTACTGATGAGGCGTGAGCATCATCTCCAGGTGTCCGTCCAGCTACATCGTGGTATCCTGTCCTCACTTGTGTGTGCTCCCATCATGGGCAGCACCAGCCTTGAGCGTTTTGGCTGCAGCGGAGTCCTTCCCTCCGACGAGCATCAAATTCACACAGAATTAAAACCAGCAGACACCTTGGCGAGCCCCAGCGCTGCGGTTAGCGCGGGTGAGCGAATGGATGCTGCCACCTAGCAGCTGCGACGGGCTCCTACCAGCCCCCGAGGCTGCTGCTGCTCGCCTTCGGTGCCAGGTCTCCTACCTTGAAGCAAGTTTGTTGACTATTAATTAGTTTCACAGGTGAAGGGCTTTTCTTTTTCCGTTTACATCATCATCGCAGCATGTCGGGCTAAACACGTTGAGTGCTCCTTGCTGCAAACAGCAGTGCGAAGCGAGGAAGCTGTGTGTGCATCTGTGAATCCTGGCATCTGTCTGCGTTGGCATGAACGTGTGCTTGTTTGTGGGTTCACATAAATTTGTGTGCACCCAAATGTATTAGGAATGACAGGAGCCATCTCAGGGGATGGTCATCATCAGGGAAGAGACAACCGTGAAGTCCTAAAGGCCTAAGTTTAAAGAAAAAAAAAAAAAAGGAAAATAAAGATTGCTGACTTCTCTGTTTGCAGAGATAACACTGGATCACAGAAAATTCAGAGGGAAAATAGCTGTGTTACTAGTTTGACCTTTATAGGAGTAAATGTAGTCTCTGAAGGTGAGGCTATCTGATGCAGAGTGGGCACTTGACCTTCGAGCCAAGGTCTGAAAGATGCTGGTGATGCACGTAGAACACATTCAACTGCTTTTCAGAAAACTGAACGATCTCGACAAGGGTCCTGTTCCTGCTGTACTAGGTGTGTCCCAAAACTATGGGCTCTGCTCCAAAAGGCTATGGGCAATGTTCAAAGAGACAGGAGGTAAAGGGTTCGATAAATGCTTCCAAGGAGCAGCTGGAGTGAAATTCAGGAGTTAGCAATTAATGCGAAAGACTCTGTCCCATTAAAATGTGCATGTGATCATGTGTGTTAGGGGCAGCATGAGCAGTGCACTGCCCAAAGTTGTCTTTGTTCCTGGTCTGATCACCTTATGTGCCATTCTAGTTCTGGAATAGCTTATCCTGGGGCGGGAGAGGAGGGAACGAGGAGATTGAGGTCCTGTCTGCTCCTAGCAGGCCTACTGGAGGTATCAGGTGAAAAATCTGACCCCTCAGTCTCCAAATTCTGCTGCTGTGCTGTGAGACCTTGTGGGCGATCAGGCCATTCTGCTCTCTGCTGCAGCTTCATTCTTCCTTTCTCAGGATGGGTGAACCATCAGGCTTCATCCTACTTTCAGGAGTTTCCTCCACTGCTTCCGTGCTGAGATCCTGAGCGGGAGGGATTTGGGTCACATCTCCACCCGTGCTGACCACCTGAGTGACAACCATGAAGTTGGTAGGTGGCGATCACAAAGCTGTAATGGAAAAATCTCTTACTCCACGAGATGCCTCTATTTGGGGTCTAACTGCTATTCTGTACCTCCGTATGTCCGCAAATTGCTCGAGCAATAACATGTTTACACTTGAATTTCAATTGCTTGGAGTGCATATCTGTTTGGAGAGCAGAATCCTCCCAGGAAATGAGGGCAGAACGGTATAGGAAATTGCTCGTCTGTATCAAACTAATGGCCCATCCCGTCCAGTATTCTGTCCTAAGCGTTGCCAGTGCTGGATGCTTTAGAGAGAGAGACTTGTAACAACCCCCTCGTGTGCCCAGTTTTACAACGCTACATAATAGGGAGACATTGCTTTCTGACCCCTACTTGCGATCATTTTATACCCTGAAGTGGGAAGACTAATAACCCATATGGTTTTTATTCGAGCAAGCCTAGCTGCAGATGCTATTCTTGTAAGGTCTAATCCTTTTCTGAATCTTGCTAATCTGTTTTCCTCTATAATATCCTCTGGCAACAAGTTTCACAGGTTAATTATACGTTGATTGCACAGTCTTTCCAATCATAGGCACAGTTCTGTTGTACCTCATCCGTGTATTTTTAAGTCTCTTTCAGCAACCAGAAGTGCCTGCAAATTTCTTTCTGCAGAAAAATAATGAAAGAAACTCGCTCTATACTGAATTCTGCATGCATAGGCCTCGAGTTACTGATATTATCTCAGTTCCCTTTGAATTCAGAGCATGCTTCTTTCCAAGTAATCTATCCAGTGTAACTATAAAGAACTTCTCCCCGGGGTTCTGCCCTGCAGCTCACGCCTCTAAAATTCACTCTCCCGAGTTGTCTGTAACATATCCCACTCCCAAGTCAGAGGTGTGCCATCTAGCCAAATTCCCTCCAAACCCAGTCATCCCCTACGTGACTGCTGCCAGCAGGACATGGTTGCCCAGGATGGTGTGGCCATGCATCCACCCCATTCGCATTGGTGCTGGATTTTGATGCTGTGTTGTCCAGTCCGCGTGCCTCTGCACTGCATTTTATTAAATGGAAATAATGATTCCTGCTGCTCCCTGTTTCTGATGTCCTGGTTTTGGCCTTGAGGTCTTGCTGACTCCTACTGCTGCCTTCAGGTAGCTGTTCCATGTCATCATTTTAAGTCCCGATGCCTTGGCGTTCCCTCATCACAAGCAAGCTGTGGATGTACCAAGGTGTGTAGCTCTATAGGATTCCCAAATACATCCAGTCCCAGAGGTGGAAGACAGGCTGCAGCTGAACCTTGCAGCCTCCCTCCTGCCCTTTCCCATCTGCACTCCCCGTGGTGTGAGCACCAGCTGAGCGTGTGTCCACTTCGGGTCCCTTTACGTGCTGATTACACCTGTCAGGCCAGGTAATCATTAAAAACCTCAGCTTAACAGCAGAGGAAAGTGAGGCAGAGGGAGGTCTAATGACTTGCCCGAGGTCATCTCGTTTCTCAGGCTAACACCCGGCTCTTCTCTTCTTGTCACTTCTCAGCTACCAGGCCTGACATGCAATTGAAATTCTGCTGTGACTCCCACACTGCTCTGTTAAATGGCTGCTCTATAAATACAGTTTCTATTGAAAATGGCACATTAGAAGAATGCTACTGCATAATTAGTATTTTTTTTTTGTTGTGAGGTTTTTAATCATCACATGGAGAACCCCCCACCTTAAAAGTCAGCTACTGTACCCATTCTTCCCTCTTCGTATCCTAGAAAGAGCACTTACATCTCACCAGAGCCAAATTAAACATAATGGTGTAAACAAGAAAGTGCAGAGGGCAATAACTGAGCCAACTCTCTTGGAGCCTCCTTCCAAGAGTAGAGAATGGAAAGATATTTTTTCTTTTCCTGGCGAATGCTGGTAATTTTGCCTTCTCCCCTGTAACACATGGAAGCAGACACTTGAGGAGGTGACAGGAACAAGAGCATTGGAGAGAAAAGTCGAGCATCTGTGTGCAAGTGGGAAGGCACGGGGCTGGGTGAGGGTAGGCTCACTATTTTAAGTCTCCCATTGAAGTCCTTCCATTCAGATTTCTTTCCACTAGCTCCTAAAATCCCGCTATGCTGGAGGTTTTCCTTCCTTTCGATGCTGCGTCCAAAAATCCAAGTACCTCACGAAGTGAAGCCTGACTACGGTTATAAAAGAGATTCGAAGTTTGAAAAAGGGTGCAAAAAGCCATGACATTGAGAGTTACAGGCTGGGTTGGAAGAGGGAAGTGTAGCATGGTGGATATTTGAGCTACTCTTTGCTGGGTGCATTTTTCTAGTGCTTCTGGTGGGGTGTACGGACACGAGCCGTGTCTCCCCACCTGGAGCACTGTCCTACGGCTACCCCGTGTGGTGCCTGCAGAGTGTGATGCGTTGGGGTGCACGTACTGAGCTTTGTGCTCCTGGGGTAGGAGGGGCTCGGCGAGCACAAACTGCTTTTCTGAGCTTGTTGGCAGGCATCAAGGGATTCGCTCTTCTTTCCTCCCTCTGGTAATGAACTCCCGCAGAGAATGCACCAAGCGCGATGCCTCTCTTCAATCCATCTGCCTACGGGGGGGGTTTATGGTCCCTTCCCTCTGTCTGGGAAGCAGGGAATTGAAAAGCTTCTTCCCCACGAGCCTAACCCCTCAGAAATAACACTGGCATTGCAGAAGGAGGTGGCCACCTGGCTCTCTGGCTGCCTGCTGTCAGGCTGCAAGGCCTAATGAACCTCTCCGGGGGAACATCCGCAGAGGGAGGATGATGAGCCCAACAGGCGCTTGTGTCCCTGGGGTGGGGAGGCATCAACAGCAGCAGGGATGGTGCTCACGGGGAGGAGAGAGGAAGGGCTGACGAGCGTTTGCACCATCTTGCCTCTCAGCATCAAGCTTCCCGCATATGGAGGCTGGTGGCGTGTGGAAGTGGGGACACAGAGCTGGCACGGGGAGGCTCATTTCCATTCCAGAACCAGGCTGCTTTTCCTTCCTACCTGCCCTTCCCTCCAAGCCCAGGTGCTGCCCGTGCTGTCGGCTCTGATCAGCTGCTCAGGAGGCTCGTCATCAGCTTAAAAGACACCTGAAAAAGCTCAGCAGCCACCCCAGAAACTAGCAAAAATGGGAAAGGTGCCTGGTGTAGGAACATCTCTCCTTGTTGTGTCTCTAGCCATATGTAACCCTTTCTGTTTTAAGTCATTTCCTGGCTGCTGGCCTAGCTACGTGCAAAGCTCCATCAGCCAGCTAGCCCCTTTCAGAGGGACACCGAGGGTGTTAAAAATAAATGATGCTTTCTCCTCCTGTCAGTATCTGCAGAAGATTTTCAGAAGAGCTGTACTTAATGGAAATCCCTCCCTCCACATTTACTAAGGGTCTGCCATCTTCCGGTAAGATTATTTACTATGTTCTCACCTGGTCCCGCAAAACTCCTGAATTTTGGGAGTTAGAGGAAGAGCTATTGCTTTTTGAATTTATTTTTTTATGTTCTGCAAGAAGATGTGACGGTGGTTTATAATCTGTAATGAGTGTGATCAGTCCTGTTTATACCAGTGCAGCGATACCAGGAGCGCATGAATAACATGATGATGGATATTGCACAGGAAAGTAGCGAGCAGGGTAAATACTATGATCCAGGTAAATATCCTGGCTTCAAAACACACTCATCTAATGTGCAACATCTGCCACTATCGGGCTGAAAATTGCCTCAAGGATTTTGGAAATTAGGTCATAACAGGGAAGAAATTTCCATTCCTTGGTAGCATTTTATTGCCAAGTGGAATTCATGAGACACAGTGCTTTTTGCTTGTGGGAAGGATTGGTGGACAACGTTTGCAAGAGAGTTTTAGCCCCCAAAAGCAACTAAAATGCTAGGAAAGCTAAGACTTAGTAGAAAACCTTCAGGATCTTTTGGACAGTCTTCCTCTGTCAAAAATATATTTAGGTTTCTGCGCAATTTCCCGTGTAAGAGGGGAAGAGGGAGTTCTAAATCTCTCTTTGAACAGCCGTTCCCTCTCCCTCTTGCCCTACAACTGCTAGCAGAAAAGTGGCCCTAATGTGTGGGTGGATGGGAAATGCTGCTTTGCCACTGCGTTTCTGTGACCTTATCAAATCCTTTTGCCCTCCATGCCCTTCTTTTCCCTCTGAGGTTGAAGTCTTATGCTGGGGAGTTTTGCAGTTTTGTTGTTGGGTTTGTTTTTTTTAAACATGCTTCATAGTGCACAGCGCGAAATAAAATACTTCTGGGGTTTTAATATTTCAGTGTTCTCACTGTTCATGTCTCCCACACTTGAGTAAGATGAAAAATAACCAACTAGGTGTAAACTCATCTTTGTAAGCAGAATTTTTGCATTTACAAAGCTCTGAGGTTTCTTGCTTGTTAACAAGCCTCCTGCCTTAAATGGCTTTCTTCTCCCAGAACAATTAGGAAAGCAATATGAAACCCCCTTTGCCTTTAAGGAGCCAGGTCTTCAGCTTCCAGAGCCCACTTCCAAGTGAGGGCTTTTTGAGCATTTCAGCAGAACTTGAATTTGCTGCAGTCTAAAAAATCCTCTCGAGAGTACCACGACCTTTCGGGTTTGGTATGCTCGGAGTGGAGACACCATCAGTCCTGCAAACAGCTGACTCCTCCTCTTTTCCTTAACTCATTTTGTTTGGAAAGTGAACTGTCTGCTCATCAAGGAGATCATTGCAATGTTGCTTTCCAGGCATTTGTCTCCCATGTTATAAATGGTATTAAAATTACCAAGGGCAAAAAGAAAATTGAAGTTCTGGCTGTGAATACATAAGGCTTCCTGCGTTTGAGTACAGCCTCTCTATCCAGCGGTCACTGGATGCAAAACTCAGTTTTGTTGCATTCAAGCCTCCATGAGCTTTTGGGAAGCTTAAATCCGTGGCTGAGGCCTCTCTGTAATACGTATTTTCAACAAGATGAGGTATCTTTTTAACTGCTGCTCAATATGTTCTTCAAACCAAATTATTTGGAAGTGTTTGGACATACAGCAATTTTCAAACTGTTGAGATCCTTGCAGATGCAGAGTTGGGCTCAGTGAATTGTTAAGAAAAGCAATAAAAAGGGTGTTGCTTGCTGACTTCTAGGTATCACTCACCCGTGCCATCACTGTTCAGGTATCTTTACAGATGTGTCCTGGGGTTCTTTTCTCTAGCTAAATTATGCCAAGGGTTATCTTAAGCTTTGGTGCAATGATGTAGTATCGACCAGATAGGTCTTCATAACTGTGTGGGGATTGCTGGAGAGAACTCAGTGGCCTGAAATTCAGCTCTGGGAGCAGGCTGGTTTTGAAAAGCTCAAATACTCGGCAAGAATAAGTATGTAATTTTGCAGCAGTGTGTGGATTACATTCAGGTACAGGTACTATGAAGGAAAGTTGTCTTGTTCTGTTTTTTTTATTACTTGTTCCTTTCCCTGCATGATTTGGTCCCTTCACCTAAAGAGTCCCCTATTCTTGGCCACCCCACCTGTTTCTGTGTGGGTTATGTACGGGTTGTTTTCTGTGCTGACATACTTGTAAAGGAAATTTATTATATTTATTCCTGTTTGTTTATTGCAGTTTATCAGGCATGTGGCTGTAGTCACTAGGGCAAAGCAATCTTTCACAGTCCTAAATAAAGATATTTGCTAACTGTGAGGGGTTATCGAGTATGCTGGATCACTCAAAGTGAACTTAAGCGTATTCACACGATTAAAACCGAATATGTGGGCTCAGACACGTAGTGGTTGTTTTGCAGAGAGGGAAGATGTATTAGAGTAGGATTCTCACCATCTGCTGTAGCGGAGGAGACCCTGGCTGACAAGGCAGCGCTGAACAAAACGAGGATCCAGCGAGTCCAAATAAAAATGTTTGATCAGATTCGTAGAGTTCAAAAGCATCTGAGATTTGGGATTCAAGGCCTTACCTGGTTATAAAAACTGGCTGAGAGGCCGGAACCACCTTAAAAGATTGCATGGCCCAAGCTGTCCTTGCCTTGCAGTAGTAATCATTCTCTGTTCATTTTTATAGCCCTACAGTGGAGGGAACTAAAGAGGGATAATGGCTGATTGGTTTTCTGCCACCACATAATTGCACTGTCTTTCTCCAGGCAAAAGAAGGCAGAGTCTCTTGCTGTTTGTCCTTTTAGGTCTGTATTTCATTGTATTCATGTGGCATCGCGTTTCTGGATGCGTGTGCAATCATGTGCTAGGGAAGAAGTCTGCGTGATGTATTTCCATATTGGCCTTATGAGGATCAGTTGGCAGGAGTCTCTGCTCTGAATTTAGTAGCTGACACCAACAGTTAAGGAACCCGTAAGAGCCTGTGTCAGTGTCTTGGGCTCAGGATATGTCATCTGAGCTCAGAGGAACTGACCGTGCATTTAGTAATGAGGAAGTATGCGATGAATAAACGTGGAGCATGTTCATACTGTGAAGACTAAGTACATGTTACAGAATACTTGCTAGATTTTCACGGCACTTGGAAGCCATGAACTGAGAAGTTTGTGTGCATTACTAAGCAAGATTTAGGAGCAGAAACCCGTTCAAACTTAAACCGTAAGTATATGTCCAAGGAACTTACTTTAGCAGTTTCTCCTCTTTGTCATTGTGCACGTAGCAAAGTATGTGTTGAGCAAGAGAGGGTGCTGACACAGGAGACATGCCTTAGTGGCTATGAACCAAAGCAGGACTCAGGCAAGTTGGGTGGTAGTTCTAGTTCAACATGGACATTTTGGGTGACCTCCTGCAAGCATCTTAAGCTAATAAATTCAGTATACTTTTCAGCATTCCCAGGCAGTAAAGCCAACTGGCACGGAATGGCCCAGATCAATGGTAATAAAGCACTACAGCACCCCAGGGAGCGCAGCTTCACGCAACCCTGCCTGCTTCCAAATAGTCCCTGGATCATCCATGTCTGGGAATCATTTGGTGTAGGTGCAGGTTGTAACAGAACAAATCTAGGCCAGCAAATTTGCTTACCATTTATTAACACGACTGTATCTGGGAACACTCCTGGTCACACGTGAATTTATTAGTAGAGCACAACCTTAGTTGCTGCAGTTACATCTCAACTGATGGTCTGGGAGAGCATTCAAGCTGCTCCTGGGGCAAGAAGCAGGATCCAACACCTCTCCTCCTTCACAGTCCATTGTTTTGATGGGAAAGGGGCCTTAGTTGCATGGGATGAAGGGAGCTAAAGGAACTCCAACCAGGTCCCTCACATAGACCAGGACAATCAAAGGACCAGGACGACTGGGCAGACCACTGTGCACCACTCCGTCTTTTGTCTATAGAAAGAGGATAATAGAATTCCCTGACTTAGGAAGTATGATTTAAGTCAGCACACTAGTAGTGTAGGTTAAAAACCACTACTAAATAATTGCTGTTAGCCAAGCACTGTCTTTTTGCCTTAAATTGTTCCTGGGCTTGTGGAGTTATCCTTTATGGGCAGGTTTTTCTAAGACTCCCCATGTTGTTTTTCTCTTACAGTCAGTTCTCAATTACACGATGTAGTAAGAGGTAGTATATCTGTGTCTTTTGCTTCATCCGAGCTAGTACAAGCTTGGATGGTGTCCAGATGAACCATTCGCTGGTTCCCCATGACAATTTATATGCCTTTATCCTTGGTAAGGATTGTATGGTACTTCTGACAGCTGTAGAAAAAGCAAGAAGTAGGAGTAATGCACGTATCCAGGAAATTTCCAAGACCTAAAATATTTGGATTCCACCGTTCTACTTGCTAGGCAAAAAAAGTTTCTTTAAATTCTTCTTCCAGCAGCTGCTCATGTAATCTTGGAGATCTTCCAAAGCTGCCTGGAGGTGGTCCTGGGCATCCTGCTGTGGGTGTCCCTGCTTGAGCAGAAGGCTTGGACCTCCAGGGGTCCCTTGTAACCTTCGCCATTCTGTGATTCACTGTGGGGCAAAATAAGCTCTAATGTGGCAGTCAGCCTCATCTCTTCCACGTTCCCTGTGGGAGCACAGTGTTCGGGGTTTTCAGCAACTGTCTGGTGGTATTCACATTAGAACAGATAAACGAAACAGCCAGAGTTCCCAATGAAAAGGGAATAGTGTAAAATGTCCATTCACGGGTTTTGGCACAGCTGATTTTCCACCCACCAACTGTGCCTGTTTATTTTATTTTTGTCTCATCAGCAGGTGGGTGGCTTTTTTTTTTTTTTTTTTTTGTTTCAGTGCTGCTCTTCGCCTTAGCAGTTTTTGAGAAACACCCTTTGCAGAGCTGAAGGAGTCTTAAAGTGCACTTAGCACTGCGGAATTATAACTTTGTACTTGCAAAGTCAGCTTCTCCTTTTCAGATCCCCTTCTTTTGGATTAGGGCTGCAAAATCAGTGCAGCCTGGTATGTGGGAAACTGATGTAACCCTTCCCCAGCTCTTGCAGT